TGAACGATACCCAAATTCACTGTCCATCTTCTGCAGATACTACATGGCACTGTAGCAGCCAGAAGCAGCTGGCTGGAAACCGGATCACAGACAGGCCACTTTCCCCAAGCTCACAGGTTGGAAATAGGTTGTAGGTTCACATAGCACAGCAAACTTAACGCTGTCGTTATGTGGCACAATTTCTTGACAGCTGTTCCACCATTACTGTCAGCATCAGCAGAAAGTAAAAACACCTGAGTTTCCCCTAACATTGCACATACACAGAGGAAAGAAAGAACACACAGACATCAAAAGCCTTCCTTTGATATTTACCTCGTATTCCTTAATAGTCCCCTTCCACGTGCAACCATCATTAATACAGACAGCAGGCAGACTTTCCACCTCCCGACGAGCTGCGTTGTCTGGGAAAGCCTGCAATGGAAAAAACAAATCAACGACAGAAATTATTGAGGGGTTGCAGTCTTGATCCAGTCTCTTCATTCCTTATTATCAATTCTTAAAAAAAAAAAAAAAAAAAAAAAAAAAAAAAGACTCCTCCCAAGCCAGTTGCCACATTACATCCTCAAAGGTGTGCTAATGGCAAACAAACCTTTATTACAGCTTTTAAGTAGGCCACTGCTATATTAACATAACCTGGATTTTAGAAGCTGTGGAGTCCCCCATATTCATCGTAATTCTCACTACTTAAGAGAACGTTTCCTAAAAATAAGGGAATCTCAGAATTTGTGCTTTAAACAGAAACCACAAATGGTATTAACAACATCAGTGAGTTTACTTTAAAAAAACAAACAACAAAACATGCAATTTTACTTACTGAGCTTGTTTCCAAAACAGAAATTCCTTCTTCATATATCCCTTCCTGAATACAGCTTGCACACTTTTGAGGTCCAGAACTAGCAGATAAAAAAATAAACATGTAAAAAAATGAGGCCAATTGCTATAATAAATAATAGTAGATTCCCAGTAACTTAACAAAAGGAAAGAATTTTCTTATTCTAAAGACAATACATTGAGCCTTTGCTCAAGTGTATTTTGGACACCCAATTCCAATTTTTTCTTGTCTTATGATTAACTGTTCTACTCAATTTCATTCAAAGGCAAAAGAGAGATAAAGCACAAACTTTTCTGAAAGTCAATGTGCTTAATTTTCCTCACACGTGCCACCATCACTTTTAGGAAGTTCCTCCAGTAGCTTTGATGAAGACTGAAGGCCACTTCAGTGATCCACCTGCACTGATCCACCAAAACTGCAAAAAACAACCCAGGAGACTCTGGAAAAATTAACTTTGAATCAACCCCTGGAACAACAAAAGCAAGTCAGAGCTTACACACTCCCTTAAAGAAGGGGCCTGATGCAGACTCTCAAAGATTAAACACAGCTCCTTCATTGAGATAGCCCTGAAAATAACGACTTTCATCTCTTTTTTTTTTTACTTCTGCTTACTTTTAAGCACTTTGTTTTTAGACTGAAGGCACTGAAGTTACCTTATGATTTTCTTCAGACAATAAGAACAGTAGCGATGTCCACACTGAGCTTGAAATGGCCTCCTCAGAATGTTCTTGCAATCCGAACAGAGGTATTTCACCTCCAGTTTAGTTCCCAGTATCGCCCTTGAAAATCCAGGCTGGTTTAGATCCAAAGAGCCTGGTGGAGTAGAGTTTGCTGCTGCCATGTGAACCAAGAATTCCGTCTGTATATCCAGAGCCTGCAAACAAAAATATTTGTCCCTGTTTGCCTGTCCCCGCCTGACGGGGATTTCTCACGCACTCTCCCAGCAGCGCCCAGCCCGGGGGCCGGCAGCGGGCACAGCGCTGGGAGCCGCGAGCTCGCCCCCGCCTCGGCAGGAGCGAGGCAGCGCCCCCGGAGCGCGGAGAGGCGGCGGGGAGGCCCCGCGCCCAGCTCCCCGGGACGCGGCCCCGCCGGAGGAGCCGGGGCTCCCGGCCCCAGCGCTGCCGCCGCACCGGGAAGGGCCGGGCGGCCCGGGGGTGGGGGGGGTGGGGGGGGAGCAGCGAGCCCAGGGAACGCCGCGGCCCGGCGGGCGGAGCAGCGGCCCAGGGTCGCGCCGCGCGGGGCAGGGCAGGGCCGGGCCCCGCCGCCCGCCTCCCCCCGGCCCAGGGCCGCCCCCCGCAGCCCCGCACTCACCGGCCCGTCCGCCCGCGCCCCGCACCGGAAGCGGCCCCGGGCCCCGCCCCGCCGGAACGGCGCCGACCCGGAGCCGGACCCGGAGCCGCCGGCGGGGCGGGACGGGGGCCGCGGCGCGGAGCCCCGGAGCCCCGTCCCCGTCCCGCCGCCCGCCCACCTGCGCGCAGGGCGCCGCCGCCCGCCGCTCATCCCGGCCCGCTGCAGCCGCCCGCCGCTCGGGCATCGGCAGCGAGAGGCGGCCGGGGCGGATCCTGCCGGGCTCCGAGAGCCGCCGGGGAACGCGGCGCTGAGCTCCGCGCCGGGGCGCTGCCTGCGGGGGGAACGCGGCGCCGCTGAAGGCCGCGGCAGCAGACGCTCGGCTCGCGTTCCCAGCCCGCAGCCCCCTGCAGCCCGCCCACGGGGGCAGGGAGCCGCGGGGGATTGACCCGAAGCCCCCCCCCGAGGGCTGCGGGACACGGGGCGGTCTCGTTCTCACCACGCAGGGGAATTCAGTCGACACCGGGGAAATCCTCCTTGGTCAGCACCAGGCGGAACCGGCTCGTTGCTACCCTCTAAAGGAATGCCCAGAGGCCCCGGCACAGTCAAGGTGTTTCTCCCAGATAGTCCTGGCTGCGAGGACAGCCCAGGACTGGAGGTTAGGGCAGCTCCCCGTGCAGCCCTACACAACGCTGAGGGCTGAGCTGGTTACCGGTGAGTTTGGGGAGCCACCAGCTCCTCTACATTGCCCCACTGACTGGAGCAAGCACGTGCCCTGCCAGTCCCTCCAGCACCCACACACATCTGCATGTGGCTCAGACATGTGCTACGGTGAGGTGCCAGCTGCAGGGCTGGTGGAAACCCTCCTGGGGACTCCTGTGGAGGACTGGGGCCACGTGCTGGGCACTGAACTGCCACCTGCCCAGCTCTCTGTGGACGGCAGAGCTGCGCTGGTGGTGAGCTGCAGCCCACGGTAGAAGCCAGATAGACAAGGGCAGATGCTGATCACGATGTGAGGAAGGGAGAAAACCTGGGGAGTAAGGATGAATGTTTCTGGTGAGTACGGAAAGCAGAGCCTGCTGTGCTCCCATCCACTTCACAGGGCCAAGGCTGCCCCATGCGTTCAAAGGCTTGCATGGATGCCACGCACCCCAACCCCAGGCAGCAGGCTGACATGAAGTTACCAACTACCCCACAACACGTTGGCATCCAGCACTAGCAGGGGGCACCAGTATGCGGCTCCTCTCGTGATGTCTCAGCTGCCCCATGCCACTCCAGAAGCGTGCACAGAGGCAGGGAGATGCAGCCCCACAGCACCATCCTGGGCTGGCTGCGGTCACCCCTGAGCATGACCAGAAAAAGGCACAAGAGCCCTTGGAAGACATGGTATGCATGAGACAGAAGAGAGCTGGTGGGGACACACCAGAGGACACCTCAGAGGGAGGGCAAAGCCTAGGAAAACTGACATTCGGCAGAAACTTCACAGCTCACCCCATCTCTGGGTGTAAGCCCTGGGTCTCACCTGGTGTAAAGTGGGAGGGCTCTGCTGAGGTCAAGGCCACGAGCTGTGTCCCCGTGCACGCGACAGCACTGGGAATTTGCACTATGCTGTTCCTCCAGGGCAAGCACCGCTTTGTGCACTCACTGGCACTGCTTCAGTTCTTCTGTTGCAACGTTCCTTTTCTTGCCACAGCCGCACTTGTCTGGGAAGTGCAAGCGTAAAAAACTCCACATTGCTAAAGTTCTTCACCAGTTTGTGTAATCCGGTGAAGAAAATCCCCTTCTCCATTTCCTGTACAAAATGTGACTCTGACAGGAGTGCTGAGGGCAGGACATGTTGAAATAGATTCCTGTAGAGAAGGAACTTATCAGCAATGACTTACCTGAGCTGCTGGCCCAAGAGGGGACCCAGCCAGGACTGCTCCAAATAAACTCGCTGCTGCAGTGCTCCGTTTGCCACCACGTGGCCAGAAGCAGAGCTTTGCAGTAGGGAGCACCCCCCCTGCCATTCCCCAACGCGCTCCTCCCCGCGCCTCCTGGGCCGCAGCAGCCCAGCCTGATGCAACGAGGGAGCAGCCGGAACGGCAGCGGGAAGGGGAAAGCCCCGAGCACCGACACGGCCCCGACTTCTGAGCAGTGCCCAGCCCGGCCCCTGTCTGGAAATCAGCTGCTCCCGCCGGGCTCCGTGGTGGCGACAAGCCCTGAAAGTACCGCCGGGGGGTTTTCAGCCGCCCCCCCCCGCACCCCGTGTTTCAGAAGCGGTGACTGGCACCGCGGGGGCTTCCCGGCCGCCCCGCACGGCTCTGCGGATGACTCAGACGGAGCTCAGGGATTTTATCACCCCGGAGCCGAAAGAGCACGGCGCTGCCGCACCGCCGGGGGCCCGCGGGCTCCCCCCTGCCGCGCGGGGCCCGGCCCGGCCCAGCCCAGCCCAGCCCGGCCCCCGGGAGGCGCCGCTGCGGCCGCCGCCGCCCCTCGGCCCCGCCCCCCCCCGCCGCACGGGCAGAGCCCGCTTCCGCCCCCCTCCTCTCGGGCGAGGCTATTGGCTGGTAATGCGACTTCGGCCAATCACTGCTTGGCACCGAGTGATTGGCAGTTACAGTAGCCTCTCAGAGCGCACAGCTGGATGCGTGCTCGCCTCCAGCTCGGGGTGCGTTAGCCAATGAGATCCGCGACCGCGTTGATCGTTGGGGTTTTGTGCCTATGAGCAGCGATGACGTCACACCTGCCAGTGCAGCGCTGTTTTTACCGAAGCCCATTGCGGCCCCCAGCCCCGCCCCCTGCGCTCGTCCCGCCCCCCTGCCCGGACTGGCCGCTTTCCCTGACGGACGTGAGCCCGGCCCTATCGGCGGGCGCGGCGCCTCGGGGGGGCGGGCGGAGGGCTCGTGCCCCGCCCACTCGTTGCCGGGGGCGGCGCGGCCGGGGCGGCGGGTGCGGGGTGCGGGGTGCGGCGGCGGAGCCATGGCGGAGAGCGACTGGGACACGGTGACGGTGCTGCGCAAGAAGGGCCCCAGCGCGGCACAGGCCAAGTCCAAGCAGGTCGGCGGGGCGGCGGCGCGGCCCGGAGCTGTGCCCTGGCGGGGCACGGAACCGGCACCGGGCGGGGCGGGGCGGGGGCGCCCCCGCGGCCTCAGGGGGCCCGAGGGGCGCGGGTCCCGGCTGCGGCCCGGCCGCCCTCCCCGGCGCCCCCCCCGCCCCCCCCCCGCCCCGCCGCGGCCCGGCTGATGCAAGGCTTGGGGCGGGGCCTCCCGGCGCCGGGGCCTCGCGGGGGCGGCTCTGCCCGGGCCCCCCCCGCCGACCGCGGCCGCTTTGCTCCCGCAGGCGATCCTGGCAGCGCAGCGGCGGGGCGAGGACGTGGAGACCTCCAAGAAGTGTGAGTGCGGCCCCCCCGCAGCTCTCCCGGCACGGCGCGGCCCCTCCCCGCAGCCCGGCGTCACGCGGGCAGGAGGCCGGGCGCGGGGCCGGCTGCTGCGGGAGCGGCCCGGGCTGGCGGCGGTGTGCGCGGCGGTGCCTGCCTTCGGGCAGAGCTGGTAACGCGTAATCGCGCTCTTTAAGCGCCTAAACGAGGAAAGCGCGAGTTTGAGGGCTCCAAAGCCCTCGAAAGAGTCTTCGCAATCGCACGACTCAGGTTAAACTCCCCGTTCCCAGTTATTTCTTTTGTTGATAACATACACTTAACAATCTCGGTAACTGTTCTTTTTTCTTGTAGTGTAGCAGTTAAAAAATTCTGTTTGCTGTCTGATACAAGTCAGATGCGGTATGGAAAAGATGATGATGCTTGTAAACAAATAAACAAATGACCCTTGAACAGGGTTTAGTCAGCTTTTTTGAGACACTGGATTTCAGGGGCTGGTGTTAGAGAATGGACTCAAGCTATAACCAAAATATTCTGACTACGTGAGGTAAAGCAACAGCATATTTTTGAACCTCAGGCTTTCTGCAGAGTTAAATAGTGTTACAGTTTAATTCTAAACAGCAACAGAAAATTGACTAAAAGCTAGTTCAGTGCTGCCTTGTAACTGAGCAAGCAAGGTACAAGTTCCAATACTAAATCCTCCCAGCTGTAGCAAAAACTTCTATGTATGGAGTGAAATTTGAATATTAAAACCCCAAGCAAGAGCAAAAATTTGCATAGCTGGAATGAAACTCAGATATGAAGTAAAGAAAGGGTAGGGCTCTGAATGAGTGTTTAGACATCAGCATTTAATAGGATTAAGATAACATTTTCCCTGAGCTGCAGCAGGCAGGCAAGATCTGGTTGAGGTCCGTGCTGATGTTGGCACGTTAAATTGTTGAAAACTTCCTGGGATCCTGGGCAGCTGGGTGTTCAGAAAAACTGCTTTGATATTTTTTGGCACAGCTCTGAGCCTTACTTTGTTTGTTCTTTTATTCTTGTTGTTGTTGCTTTGAATGATAGGGGCAGCAGGCCAAAACAAACAACACTTTATTACAAAGAACACAGCCAAGCTCGACCGAGAAACAGAAGAGCTGCACCATGACAGAGTTCCCCTGGAGGTGGGCAAAGTAATCCAGCAGGGTCGGCAGAGCAAGGGCATGACGCAGAAGGACTTGGCCACAGTAAGTATTGCCTAGTGCTCTCTGGGAATTAATATAGGTAGGCACCTTGAGGCAGGTGAAGATGGATCTTTTCCTGTATCTCCATGGGTATCATGAGCAGGAAGTTTGAATATAGCATCTCTGTTGTCTGACCTCCGAGAGAATTGAGTTACGTAGGCTTAGGGGGTTATTTGTGCAGCTGTTACAGCCAGTGAGCTGGTAAGAGGCTTCGCCATCAACTCAGTGTGGATGTGAGTTCTTTTGTACTGTGTACAGAAGTCCATTGCTTTACTAATGAGCAGCAGTATTTAGTGTTTTTCCTCCTGGCAGGCTAAGAGAAGTCTGTCCAGGATGAGTGTTGCCATCACTGTGGCACTCAAATAGTGAAGGGAGGTGATAGAGGGATGATGGAGGAAGCCTGGAAGTAGGCACTTTGTCTTCTGATCCTGGCATAATTAGAGGATGCATCTTTTCTATGTGAGTACTGGGGGGCTGGTTCTGAACATCTACTGTGTATGGAGCCAATGTTTGAGACACGTAATGTCTTTTCAGAAAATCAATGAAAAACCACAAGTTATTGCTGACTACGAATCAGGAAGAGCAATCCCCAATAATCAGGTTATGGGCAAGATTGAAAGAGCCATTGGTAAGTCAAATAGACTTCAAAAATAATGACAGTGTTTTCAGTTTTCTCAATGCCTCAACGTTTCAGTAAGAGATGTTTTTGTTTAAGTTGTTTACACCTACAGTCAGGAACAAGTGCTGACTGTAGGCTGTTATGGTTGCTGTGTCATTAAACTGTGTGCTTTTAAGATCTGGAACTGTGAACTCACAGCTCTTACTTGCCTTTGTTTTCCATCTTTGTGGGTGTCTCTTTGCCCCAGGGACCTCTCTTGTATACATTCCCTCCCAAAATCTGTGATATGCTATGTCCCTAGAAGGTCTGATGGTAACTCAGGAAAGTATCTTGCCACCACTAGAGTTAATGTGGGTCTCCTACACCTGTTCAAATACCAATTTCTAGGAACACAGTCAATGCACAAGCAAAATTAGAGTCTTTTCTGTAACTTTCTGATGCTGCTACAAACTGAAGTAGGATTCTTCCTAAACCTGGCTCCCCTGCCTTCTTTTCTGGACACTCTCTTCTTTAGAGGTGAATGATCAAGTGCACAGCAGCTGATGGTTGTTTCCTTTGTCTTATTCCAGGCCTTAAACTGCGTGGGAAGGATATTGGAAAACCACTCGAAACTGGCCCCAAAGGGAAGTGACAACAAAGCCTCGAAATCAGTTTGTTCAGACTGATCTCGTCTGGCTGGTTCTCCTTAGCCACCAGAATCTCTCTTCGTATTGCCAAGCTGAACAAGAGGGTTTCAGACTTGCTTTGGGGGGGGGAAATCTGCAGAATCTGTACCTGCTGTAAAAAGGCAACCTTAAAGAAGCGTTTGTCCTGATTTTGTTTTTCCTTCCTCCTTTCCAGAGATTGAAGAACTAAACCCAAAAAAATACTGCATCTAACTTGCCACAAAACATGTGTGTCTTGGTGTTTAGAAGCAGCTAATGTTAAGACACTTGGGGTGGCCTGAAATGTGATAATTTAATTGGAACAATTTTTGGGAAGGGTGGGATATATTATATATAAATAATTTGGGAGAGTTGAGGGTTGATCAGTGTCTGCATTTGAAATGATGACTCAGTCACTGCATTGCAATGACGTTTTTTCTTTGTTCCTTCCAGCCTGTTTTAAAGAGATCTATAATAAAGTTTGATACCCTTCAGTTGCATGGGGTAGTTGCTTCATGCTTACCAGCTGGTAGTAAGTTTTTGTTGTTGGCTATGACTGGTGCACTTCTTCTGGAAGTGCAGTGGGACTACCTGGAGCATCTAGGGTAACAGGTGGTGGTCACAGCCTTCCTAGCCGCTCTGCTTCTTTCCTTGTTGCAGCTTTGGCTTACATCCCAGAGATTAAATCAATACTGTGTTTTTATCTTGTATGGAGAAGGTGAATAGAGTCTTTGGCATTGTACAAAGCAAGACCACTGCAGAGACAGTGGGGCATTTATATGAAGCCAGAGCCCACCTTATATCCTCTTTTTACCCTTCTTGTTGAGTGCTGCCAGGATGGGAGCTGTGGTGGAGCTTTAAGGATTCTGCTCAACATGACTGTGTGGCATGACTGTCCTTAAGTTGGATAGAGCTGAAGGGAAAATTAATTGTCTGTAGAAGGACAAGAGGAAGAGCAGGCTTCTGCCACAGATCACGTAAGTGGCATGCTATGTTCCCTTCAGCCAAGCTGTGGCAGTTTAAAAAGACTGGGCTTGCTAATGAACTGTTTACCTCCACAGAGGCTGAAGTGGTTTGTTGGTGCATTTATTTGGCAGACTTGGCAAGGGCTTGCTTGAGGTGATAGTATTAAATTGTTCTGTAAGCTTGGGGAAGGGGGCATTTAAATTTTAAATTGTTATTTAGATTCAAATTATGAGGAGTCCTCAAAACAAGTATGGGCCATCCTGTGGGGGGTGAGTGCCTATACAGCTGGGGCCGAGCTGTTGGCTGCTGGCAGGTGTGCTGTGTGGTGCTGCCCACCCTGCTCCCTGCCCGACTGCCTCCACCCAAAGCCCCCGCAGCCCTGCCTTGCTGGCCAGGCACTTCTGTGCCCTGGGAGCTGACAGGTTGTGCTCTTCTTCTTAATCCTGGGAGAGGGAAGCCGCTTTTGTTGGACGCAAGCACCCATCCCTGGAGGGGTGCAGGATGGTGCACTCTGCCCCCTTCCACCTGAGAAATGGGCAACTGCCAGGACCCTGCAAGGGGTCCTGCAAGGACGACTGGTCCTGGCCCAAGAAACCCCTGCTCCCTGGGTCTGTCAATGCACAGGCACGTCACGGTGTCTCAGTGTGTTACAGAAAGCTCATGTTACAAAAGACAACAGTGCTTTTCCCGAGCGCAGCATTGGAGGTAGTGGAGGAAGCATCTGTGCTGTGTCCCTGGGGCTGGTGCCCACTGCAGCTCCGCAGTGTGAGATGTTGGACAGCGAGGGCGCCTGGAGCTGGGCAAGGCTGTGAGCTGGACGGAGCGGGGGGTTTGCTGGAAGGATGCTCTGCCCCATGTGTGCCTCGCAGGCATGAAGAGGTGAAAAGTGTTGGCTTATTAATTCAATCTTCATCCCTCTCTTTCTGCACTGGCGATATAATGACCTTGTCCTGTAAAGAAGGCTCAATGTGAGCTGGGTCCAGTAAGTGTAGGCTGTCTAATAGGAAATCCAAGGACTTCCAGGTTGTGGAGGGGATAACCCATACACCAGCACACAAAACTGCCCAGTGAGTCTGGGTGGGCTTCTTGTCTTTTGAGATCAGCCTTGGTATGGCTGCAAGAGATCAGTGGCTCTGCTGGGGACAGCGTGGCACCAAGCTCATCAAAAGAAACTGAATGTAGTTTAAGCTCTAGGTTTGAAGCTCCTGGCTACAAGAGGTTGAGCAATGTTTGCATGACCCACTCTCCAGCAGGGCCCTGGGGAGGAGGATTGCAGCCTCAGCTGTTTCTGTAGCAAACACCTGATCACAGCAGCAAAATATCTAGGTCAGCCCTACAGCTCTAGGGTCACTCATTTGCCAGTGACCAGATAAGTTGCTGAGCCCTTTGCACTTCTCTGATGTGTTAGCAGATTGCAGGCTCACTAGGTGCCTGCTAGAATTTGCTGAGCTTTTTAAGAAAGGCTGTTTTTGCTGTTGGGGGCAGCTGGGCAAATGGGATAGTCCTGCACCCTCACCCTGAGGGCCAGGGCTGCTCCTTACATCTCGAAAAGTGATGTTGTCGAAGCCCTGCGGAGTGCTGCTCTCTGCTGACATCCTGCTCCCCTGTCCTCTCCTCTTCAGCAAGTACCAGCCACTGGCCACTGCCAGTGCCAGGATGATGATGACCAGCAGAATGCTGAGCACCACTTCTGCCACAAAGCCACGGGAAGACTTCTCTGCAAGGGAAAGGAGATGCTGCCAGTCTCAGACACCACTGGGAAGAGCTGGCTTGAGCTGCGGCCAAAATGCCAGCACCCTGGGTGGCGCAGGATTCACATTCCCCCATTACACTGTGCCAAAGGCAGCCTGCATCCAGCCTCTGCAGCTGGAAGGACTTGTGGCCAGAGGGAACCCTCCCTGCCACACAAAGCTGTCTCATACCAGCACCCTGCCCAGCTGCCATGGGGAGGGTCAAATCCCCTTCTCTGAGGCTGGAAGCAGCTGTGTGCAAGCTGTTTGTGCCCCTTGTGCTCTGGGGGCTTGTGGAGGCCACAATCCCAAAGAACACAAGATACTGTTGTTTGGGGCAGCCTCACACCTTTCCCCTGTGTGTCCGGGCTGGAATCACAGCCTCCAGTGGTACTGTACTCAATATCATCTAGTGCCACGGTCCCCTCCATTGGCCATATCCGCGTGGTGATCTCAAAGATAATCTGCAAGAGAAGACAGGTTGTTGGGCGTGATGCACAGGGAGAGCAACCAGCAACCTGGGATGGCACCCAGCGTGGCCCCACTCACCTGGAACTCACTGGGGCTCTGCACAGGCACTGTGCCGTTCTGCCAGCCCCGGCTTGAGTGTCCTGCCATGGTCCAGGCTGTGCGCTGCCCTGATGCACTCTGCAGCCTCACCCGCAGCTCCCCGTCAGCTAAAACGTGTGGGGTGTGAGGGGTGTACCCCTGTATCAACGATGGCTCAAAGCTCACAAGAGCAGCCAGCCCCTCCTATCTGTGCCACCCTCTGCTGTGACAGCAGCACCCAGCAAGACACACACACACACACACACACACACACACACACCCCCTGGTAGGGAGGGGGTTTGCAGCCCCGTGGCTGAGCCCCCAGCCCTCCCCCCCCCCCCATGGGCTGAAGCCATCCTCTGCAGGGACAGCACCTTCTGCTCAGCCTGCTGGGGCAGCACTTACAGAGGTGCTCTGGGATGTCCATGTGGTACCAGAAGCGCAGGCAGGAATCGGCAGTGGCAGGCAGGTGCTGGCTCTCCAGCTGGGCAGTGGTGCCCCCTGCCCCCAGCACGCGGGTGTCAAAGTGCACATAGTGACCTGGAGGGGCAGGGACAGAGTGCAGGGTGGCCCCTGTCCTGCAGCCCTCCCAGTGCCTCCTGCTCCCCATGCTCCTGAGACATGCCCTGAGAACTGAACCCCCAGTCCTGCTTCTTGCTGCCTTTGGGACCAAGCCATGCGGATGCCATGGAGCCCACCATGTATAGGGCTGGGGCCCACAGTGGAGCTGTGCTGTCATGTGGGTGGGCATCTGCCCCTCATGGGGTCTGTTCTGCCTGGTCTCATACCAGTCCAAGTCTGGGGCAAGGACAGAGCTGACAAGGGCACAGCTTTTAGGGCTGGGATGAAGTGGAGGGGACATAGATGGGTGACCTCCTCCATCCCCAGCTCCTCCTGACCCTCCCAGCCGTGCCAGGGCACCCTTGGTTGGGTGGGGGCTTAGTGGTATCTCCTACCATTTTTTGTGCCCAGAGTGTGATCCTGCTCAGGGCCGGGGTATTTGGCCAGGGGAACCCCACTTTTCCAGCCCCAGGCGAAGCTGTGCAGGTGCTCATCAACAGGGCTGCTCCAGCCACACATGTCCAGCTCGAAGTCACAGGATACTGTAGGAAATGAGGGCTGAGATGCATGCACCACTAGATGGATGGTGGATGGGATGGGCTGTCCCTATCCCCACAGCCACATGTCCCCATGGGGTGCCTCAGACCCCAGCCTGGCCATGCTGCTGCCAGGGAATGGGCTCCTACCTGGCTCAGGGCAGGCTCCATCCGACACATGCAGGTCATCCAGCGCGATGTACCCATGGTCACCCCCGGCTCCTACCACTTCAAATATTGCCTGTGGGGAGGTGGAGAGTGGGGACACGAAGGTTGGCAGCTGCCATGGTGCAGGCAGTGTGCTAGAGCAGTGTACCCATCGTCACCCTGCTTCCTCCTGCAGCTTCAACCCTGCTGGGAGGTGCCCTGGGCCCTGTCTCACCTTCCAGTCCCCATCCGCCTGGACAGTGGCTTGGCTGCGGTGCCAGGTGTCCCCTTCCATTGTGCTCATGCTGAACAGCTTCCTCAACACCCCGCTGTCCTCCACAAGGATGCTGAGAGACCCTGCCCAGGGACCCCCCGCGAGGCTGGATGCATGCTGTGCTGTGGCATGGTGCATAGCAAGCACTTGGCCCCCTGGTGCCTACCCATCAGGAGCTGCCCCACAGGACCCAAGCATCCTGTGCTGACCTGCGGTACTTGGCAAGGGGCACATGGGGCTCACCTGGGTCTCCAGTGCTCAGCTGGTACCAGAAGGCCAGGCACTGGGCAGGTGCAGAGGGCTGGTATGGCGCAGAGGTGAGGGTCGCCTTGTGCCCCATGGGCAGGGAGCCCTTGCTGGTGCTCACCACCATGTAATGCCCTGGTGAGAGAGAAGCCCCTATGCTGTGACACTTCCCCTCCCCGCCCTTGCCCGGCCCTGCTGAGGGTCACTGGGGAGCCCTGGAGTTGGGAAAATGGGTTTGAGGAGCCCTGAGGTTGGGGAGTGCTGTACTCAGTGCTTCTGTTATGCTGAAGCAGCAGCACAGTCACGGTCTAGGGGATGGAGGGGGCCTAAGCCCTGTGGCCATGCAGGCAGCAGAGGTGAGCAGGGCAGCTCCTCAGACCCCATGAAGCCGTGGCCCCGCTACCTGCAGCAGTGCCGGTGGTGTGGTCAGCTGAGGGGCCAGCGATGGTGCCGGTGCTGTTGCTCTGCCGCAGCCATGTCGGCTGTGTGCTGCCCGTCAGCC